AGACTCTATGTTAAAAAATCCAGAAACTCTTACTATGAACAGAAAACCTTATACAAATTGTAAAACTAAGCCCTGACATGGTTCCAACCCACTCTCTCTCTTCCCCTCTATCTTTCCTGTTCTAGGAGGTGCAGAAGCACACTCAATACTGCAGGGGTAGCTGTTTTTATATTATCTTAAAAAAAAACAACACCACCCAAGCAAACCCAACTTTATCATATGAAGTATTTAGATCAGAACAGAACACGATTTGAGAACGATGATGTAACCGATATAAAATTCGTTTCATAAAACCCATGCCATAATATAAGAAACATGCCATCTTGGTCTTTCCTATTCACTGATACATTCTAAGTACCCAGAAGAGTGTTTAGCATAAAAGGTACCCAATCTTTATTGAATGGAAGAATGAATACTAAACACTACATACATCATAATAAAATTTGGATATAGGTCACAAATACTGATGTCTTAGCATGTGTTCTACAGACACTGGAATCCTAATGGCTTATTTATGTGTCTGTGGATCATTTATCACCAGTGGCATCTGTCCTACATTCAGAGAAACACTACATTAAGGGGTGTCTGGGTGGCTCAGTGGGTTAAGCGTCTGACTCTTGATTTTGGCTCAGGTCATGATCTCAGGGTCCTGAGATCGAGTCCCTTGTCTGGCTCCGCGCTGGGGTATGGAGCCTGCTTGAGATATTCTCTCTCTCTCTCTCCTCCTCCCACTCCCTCTGCCCTCCCCCCACTCACACTTTCTCTTGGTCTCAAAAAAATTTTTTTTTCATTAAAAAAATACTTGTTTGCTTTTGCTATTAACTACACTTCCATTAATCATTTCCTTCATCCACTGAGCACTTTACATAAAATTGTTCTATACTTCGGGGTGCCTGGGTGGCTCCGTGGGTTAAGTGCCTTCGGCTCAGGTCATGATCTCAGGGTCCTGGGATCCAGCCCCATGTAGGGCTCCCTGCTCAGCAAGGAGTCCGCTTCTCTCTCTCTTTCAAATAAATAAATAAAATCTTAAACATTGTTCTATACTTCTACAACCTTCTAAGTTAGACACCTTATTATGGTAGGAGGGGGGCGGGGGAGTCCCATCCCAGTTTGCCTGGGGTGGTCCTGGTTTAAGCTTGTTGTTCCAGCTTATCTAAAATTAACTGCCCCTTTTTTTTTTTTTTTTTAAAGATTTTATTTATTTATTTGAGAGAGAGAGAGAATGAGAGACAGAGAGCATGAGAGGGAGGAGGGTCAGAGGGAGAAGCAGGCTCCCTGCCAAGCAGGGAGCCCGATGCGGGACTCGATCCCGGGACTCCAGGATCATGACCTGAGCCGAAGGCAGTGGCTTAACCAACTGAGCCACCCAGGTGCCCTTAACTGCCCCTTTTAACTCTCGAAACTGTTTTGGTTTGGATGATGTTATATATGGTATGGTATATAATATATATATATTAGTTTTTATCACCACTTCACAGGAAAGAAAACAGCGATAGAATACCTAGCATGGGATGGCTTTGCACCCAAGCAGCCTGGCTCAAGTCCATACCACACTATACTGTTGCTGTACTCTCTCCCTAAACTTGTAGTCTGGCATATCTTTATAAGGCAATTATTTATAAAGCTAGTAGAAGAGAGCAGGATGAGAACATATTGAAACAAATGCATTTGATGCTAAAGTCAGAATGAAAGGATGAAAGGCAGACTATTATGGACTGGAGAATTTAGTATCAGTGACAGAATGTGTGAAGAAACAATATGAGGGCACTGTCTATCTTCTTTGCTAAAAAGGTAACTTTATTTTTAAAAAAAATTTTTATTTATTTATTTGAGATAGAGAGAGAGAAAGTGAGAGAGAGAGAGAGAGAGAGAAAACAAGAGCTGGGGTGGGGGGGGCACAGAGGGAGAGGGAAAAACAGACTCCCCACACGGGGCTCGATCCCAGGACTCCAGGATCATGACCTGAGCGGAAGGCAGACACCCAACCAACTAAGCTACCCAGGCGCTCCTAAAAGGGTAACTTTAAATACGAGTATCTGAAACAATCTTTGTTATACCTGAAATAGTTGTTTATTAAGACAATTTTGAACTAAAGCAAAGAACTAAATGGACAAAACTCAAAGTTCGATTTAAAGAAAATCTCTAGAAATAAAAATTCTTAAATGATTAATTCCAAGAAAAACCATCGATGTATGTATACAAGTTTGTGTATGTGCATACATACTCGTACACATACACACGCGCACACGCGTGAATGACTAAAGTAAATGAATCTCACAGAAAATGAGTAATGAGTAAATGAGTAAATGAATCTCACAGCTCTATTAACAATCAACTGGAGAACTGAGTGCTGGTTGTGGTTGAAATGGGGAGATCCTGGTTCTGGGGGTCCTACACCCTGTTTCTTCACTGGCCAATTACCAGCCACTCTTTCTTAGACAGGGATCATAGTTAGCACACAGGACCCTGACACCCAAAGCAAAGTGCTGTACTCCCTGAGCTACGTTCCTTCCAGAATCTTTCTTCTGCAACTCCCCACCTGCCCATCCTCTTGGCAGCTATGAGGTAGAAAGTTAGGGCTAGGGATATACTCAAAGAAGGTGACGCATCTAGAAGAGAGAAGGTACGGCTGTGGTCTACAGAAGCTGTCTGCCATCTTCATCCCCCAAATCTCTTTTGCTGCAACACCCCAAGACGAATTGGACTAAATCTCTATTTGTAGATATGAAGTTATAAATATTACGTAGACATAAAATTTCTCTAAAAGATGGAAAACCAATTGGTTCTCAAATCTGAGAAATAAATGATGGGGTTACAATTTTCAAACTTATTCAGGTGATTCTTGTAAATCAATCAATAGAGTTGCATACGTTTGATAATCTGCTGAAAAAGTCACATTCTTGACAGACGGATTGCTCCTGTTCCACCTCAGGATAAAGGTATCATCAACGATGTAGACCTCTACATTTTGAGGAGATTTTAGATTTGTTCCTCCTAGAAATCAAGGCCAACAAGAAAGAAGACAGTTACATATACGCTGTAGATAGTCTTAAAAATGTTATTCTTCCTTTCACGTCACTGATTAAAGAATGAATACATTCAAATATAACAAAGTATATACAGAAATCTAAAAAAACCTAATCATTGCTCTCAGCACAGGGAGGCTAATTATTCATTTAATCTCTGCATTTGAGAGAGCTAGAAAAAGGTCGAGGTTTTTTAATCCATAAAAAGTAAGCCTTATATGTCATATTTATCTCAGTAAAGCTGGAGAAAATAAAGAAAATTAGCATTGATCTTTCAATTGAAAGTCTCTTTACCCAAAAAATACAAAAATACTAATTCAAAGGGATACATGCACCCCCTATGTTTATAGCAGCATTATTTACAATAGCCAAGATATGGAAGCAGCCCAAGTGTCCATTGACTGATGAATGGATAAAGAAGATGTGATACACACACACACACACACACACAGGAGTATTATTCAGCCATAAAAAAGAATGAAATCTTGCCATTTGCAACAACATGGATGGAACTGGAGAGTATCATGCTAAGTGAAATAAGTCAGTCAGAGAAAGACAAATGCCATATGATCTTACTTATATGTGGAATGTAAGAAAGAAAACAAATGAGCAAAGGAAAAAAAAAAAGAGAGGCAAACCAAGAAACAGACTCTTAACTGTCGGTCAAACTGACGGTCACCAGAGGGGTAGGGGGAGATGGGGGAAATGGGTGAAGGGGATTAAAGACTACACTCATCATGATGAGGAGAAAAAAAAAAAAAAAAAGACCGTCCACCAGCAAAAAGATTACAACTTGCTGAAAGCTCAGATGACGGCTGGCATTTTTTAGCAATTAAGATTAAAAAAAAAGAAAAGAAAAGAACATCCATCGCACCGCAGCGACCAGCACCAGGGTCGTCGCGCCCAGGAGGGCGAGCATCGTCCGTACGGTTTTCTAAGCAAACAGTTTAAGGATTTTGAACCTACTAAGCGGCCTCACTGACCCCTTGGATTCCTGCCCTTCGGTGCTAGTCCCTCCTTCTCTTTGGGTACCCTTCCTCACTCGAAGTCAACCTTGTAATAGTTGCCATTCTCCTGATGCGTCCCAGTTAAGTATTAATAAAGGCAGCAAACTAGCCTCGTGGTCGCAGCCTCTCTATTTTGGTTGCGTATTTTTCATTTATTATTACTTTTTATTAGACTGTCCGAATCCCGAGGGCAGCGAAATTCTTGCAATCCTTATTTCCCCCCCCGACGTGGGGCTGAATAACTGTTTCCCTAAACTGAGACAATGTTTCAGGAACAGCAACACAATTCGCCGCTAAAGCCTTGTTTATTACTTAAGGGTCCAGCCCGGCTCCCCGATTTTTCGAAGAGAAACAAAGTCGACAGGAAGGCTCTCGCTCACCCAGCGCCGCGGCGGTGGAAGCCCACAGAGCCGGCGGGGAGGGCGTGTCCCGCTCGGGGACCGGTACGCGGGCCCCCAAGCAAGAGGCGTGCAAGGATCCCTGGAACACCACCTCCTCCCGATTTTCGATCTGAGCGCTGTGACCCCGGACGAGCAGAGGTCTCCGGGACAACGCGCCAGCCCCTTCCACCCGCCTCCCGGGGCCAAGGCTTCCAACGCCCCCACAGCTCAGCCTCTCGCCCCCCCCGGACCTGCGCCGGGCCCCCTCGTCTCTCACCCGCGGCTGCGGGCAACATCCATCGCACCGCAGCGACCAGCACCAGGGTCGTCGCGCCCAGGAGGGCGAGCATCGTCCGCGGGTCACCGCCGGCCAAGGAAGTCACATCCTCGGTCACCTCGCGCAGCACCTAACTACGCGAGGCAACCCCAGGCCCAAGGGCCGCCCTGCCCCGCCCCCTGCCTCCGCCCTTCCCCGCCCTTCCGCGCTCGCCCCGCCCTTCCGTGCTCGCCCCGCCTCTCCGCGCATGCGCGTCCCCTCCGCGCTCGCCCAGTCTCTCCGCGCACGCGCCGCCCTAGGAGTCTAGCGCGCTTGTGCGCTCCGGTGGGAGGAGCGGTGGGCCGCGCGTGCGCGCCTGGAATTGGGGCGTGCGTCCCGTGGTTCGCGCTCGTCATATTTACCGCCAGTGACCGCCGAGGGCGGTCCACTCTCTGGTTACGGAAAGGCTACGCCCAACAGGAGGCCTTGACCCGAACGGGAGCGCGGCACGTCCTGGCTCAGGCCTTGCGGCTGTGGTTAGTCAACTCACGCCCTCTGATTGCGACGGAGGTCGGGCGCTGTCGGCCCTCGCTCTCCCCCTCCCGGTCGCGGACACCGAGGCGGTGGAAAGCGGTGTTGGGGCGGCTTGGTTAAGGGAGGCAGGAATGAGGAAGCTGCCGAGGGGGCCAGGCCGTTTCCTTAGAGCAGAGCGCTGTGCGCGAAGGGCAAGAGTGGCCAGAGTTAAGCCAAGAAGCGCCGAGCACTCGTTTTCGGGGCGACCTGGCCGAGGGGCTCACGGGACCCCTGGAGAAAGTGGTGGCAGCGTCGGGGCTTGGGATCGTCTCCAGAACAGCGGTCTTTAAGCAGTTTTGATTGCTTACCCTTATTAGTAAACAATTTGGGTCCACCATTAAAGTCGTTATTTAAATGCTTTAGTAATAGATGATGTATATCCTTAAAATACGCAAAACGGAAAATACCAAGGATGAGAGATGAAATAATCATGCTTAGCTGATAATTACGACTAAACAATATTAATTACCAATTACGTGATAAAATGAGTATTTATAGAGAACAATGGACTTGGATTCTGCCTTATAAACAACTTTGAGGTATAATTTATATACCATGAAATTCACCCATTTTAAGTGAAAAAGGATTTTTAGTAAATCTAACCAGTTGTTAGGCCTCATTTTTATTTTTAGAAAGTGAGAGCACGTGTTAAGGGGGGGTGGGGGGGAAGGGGCAGACATCCAGGAAGAGAATCTGAAGCAGGCTCCGCCGTCCGCGCAGAGCCCAGTGGAGGGACTCCCCATCTCAGGACCCTGAGATCATGACCTGAGCCAAAATCAAGAGTGAGACCCTTAACGGACTGAGCCACCAAGGCGCCCTAGGCCTCATTTTTTTTTTTTTTTTAAGCCTTGGCTTATTACTTTGTGATTCAACAAATTTTAGCTTTGATTTGAGTTTTGTCAGTGCTTTAACAATGTCATTGATGGAAAAATACCCCACAAGAATGTGTGGGTCCAAATGGAAAAAGGAAACTTCTTGTTGTACTTACTAAATCATACTTATTTTAAAAGACTTTACAACAATTTTGACTTAAGGTTTTAATTAAAATTTCCATTTCCTGCTGTTCAGAAGTTGTTCTTGCAAACTACTTAAAATAGATTGCAGTTTTGCATTTAGAACAATGGGCCCCAAATGTTTCATGGACTGAAACTTTCCATTTGAAATACTTAAAAATGTTGGCAGTCTCCCCATCCCCAACACCCCACCATGGGAAGCTAGTTTGTTTTTTACAGATGCACAGAGTTTTTTTGGCAACAAAATTAAATCCATATGGAAATAATCCAAATGTATTTTAAAATGCAAGAGTTATATATAGTGTATGTCTATATATTTTTTTATTTTCATGCTCATAATAAAAGCAGTTTTAAAGGATTTTATGGTTCATTTTTTCAGTGTTGCCACATAACATGCTAGTGTTACCCAGTTGCTAAAGAGAAGGTCAGTAAATACCTTGTTAAAAAAAAACAAACATAATTCATCTTCAATTTGATAGCATCTGTATGGCACAGAAGATTTTCATGGTCTTTCCCCATCTTAATAAAATACATTGTAAGTAAAAGTTTCAGCTTATTTGCTGTAATGGTTTGTCTATGGATAAAATATGAATTAATTTCCCCTGTGGTGCTGCCTTTGTAACCTTAACCCAGAACCTGCCCTCCACTCCCTTTGTTCACATCAAAATAATTTATCAGAGGTTACACTGAAGAGTTTTTCTGTAAAACATGTTCTTTTTAACTTTTTATTTTGAAATGCTTTCAAATTTACCGAAAAGTTGCAAAAATAATAGGACAACGCCTCCATACCCTTTGCTCAGATTCACCAAATTGTTAATATTTTGCCACATGTGTACTCTCTCTCCAGTTCAAATGAAATATTTCTGTCCATATATATATAGTTTCCCTGAACTTCTTTGGCTTTCTTTGATCTGGAGCTGTTACCTGCCCTTGGTCTTTCACAAAACTGCCTTTTTGTTGTTGTTGTTGTTGTTAAATACAGGCCAATTATTTTACAGAATGCTACTTAATTTGGGCTTGTCTGATGCTTGTCATGATTAGATTCAGATTACGTATTCCTGGCTGGAATACTGCATAAATTATGTGGTGTTCTCCGACATCCCACCTGTAGGCACCCTATGTTCCTTAGACCCTCATGATAATGCTAATTTGATCAGATGGTCAAGGTGTTATCCAATTTCTCCACTGTATAGTTACTATTTTTCCCCTTGCAGCTAATCTGTGGAGAGATACCCCGAGATCTTGTAAATTACCCTGCTCTTTATCAAACTTTTACATCCAGAATTAGCATCCATTAATGATCCCTGCCCGAAACAGTCCACTTTGGTGGTTGTGAAATGGTAATTTTCCATCCCTGCTTCTCCAAATACAAGTATTGGTCGACATATCATATGAAAGAGCTTTCTCTTCTTTCCATATTATTCCTATGTACTCATAGATTCTTATTGTATTCAGTTGGTTATAGTTCATTGCTATCCTTATTTATTAAAATTTTTAAAATTTCATTCCCTGCCCCCCCCCCTTTAAAAAAGATTTTATTTATTTATTTGAGAGAGGGGAGAGAGTGCAAGAGCGTGGCCTGGAGGGAGAGGCCGAGGGAATGAGAATATGAAGCTGACCCCATGCTGAGCACAGAGCTGGACATGGGGCTAGATCCCAAGACCGAGAGATCACCACCTGAGGCGAAACCAAGAGTCAGCCACTTAACCGAGCCACCCAGGCACTGCCTACCTCCATTCTCTTCTTCTTGGGGGTCTCATGGTTTCTGTCATTTCCCCTTCCTTCTACCTCTCTGGCCATTCTTCTCCACCTCCATTACAAACCCACTCTACTGCTCCTCACTTAAATATTGGTGTCACTCACTGCTTTGTCTTACCCCCTTTCTTCTCACTTTAAGTGCTATCCCCTCGTGGTCTCCTCCCCTGTATGAGTTCATTAGCTGTCATTTATGCTGATGGCTCCCCAAATTGTCTTTGGCCTAGATCTGGCTTCTGATATCCAGATTTTACATCAACCAACGTGCTGGAAATAGTCCCCAGTTATTTCGCTCTCTGTATGAGGAGTCCAGTTCCAGGCCAAAATCCTACGTGTGATCTTTCAGTCCCAACTACGAGCAATTCCAAAGCTTTGCTTGGCGGGTGTCTTGGGGGTGCACAGCTGTTGGTTCACGACCCTCCCCGGAGCTTTCAGGGTCTAATCTGAAACTGGCTCTCACTACACGGAGGGCGGGGGGAGATCCAAGAAAGAGGCAGACCACCCCTGACTGGTAGGTGGCAGTTTTAATAAGCAAAGGGAATTTATACATGAGGCTTGTCTCAGGCGGAAGCAGGACGAATGGATGCCTGCACCCGCCCTAACACCAAATCTTAAAAGCGAGTAAGAGGCCCTAACCAGTTCAGCCGCATACAGTATGCAGGTGTTCTCAACACTGTATCATCATCTCAAGGCCGTGACCTTGGAGCAGCCTCTGGGCGTGGGAAAGGCAGGCAGAACCCATATTCCAAGGACAGGGGAGGGGGTGCGGAGCCTCTGAGGAGCTCCCGCGGACCAGCTCTCAGGACAGTTTTCTAGAGGGAGTTGTAGACAAAACCTCAGGCGGCCCCAGGCCACCCTGCTCAGAAGCATCTCTGCATTCCCCACACCTCCAGGCTGACACCCTTTTCACTACCTTGATTCCCTGCCTTTGCACCCCTAGTCCTTCTCCCTCGCCCCACCCCGCTTTTCTTCAGGAGCCTTTTTTTGGGGATCCCTGTCAGTGAGACAGTTCTCCCCAACTGCTTCACCCACTGGATTTCCCTGAGCAGTTTTGTGGAGGGGAAAAGGGAACCCTGAGGAGCCCGTGCTTCTCTTGCTTGGCCCCGGGGAGCAGTAAATGAATCAAGGCTTGCTTTCTATTTTCAGTTGGGCTCATGTCCTGGTGGGCTACCTGGACACTCAGACGGCACTTTCCATTTGAAAGCCCATAGTCTCTCCGGCTAAAGGAAATGGAGTTTGTGAGCGTTTTGGATCTGTGGGTTTATGGTTTTCATCAAGTTCAGAAAATTATTTACCGTTACTTCTTCAAATATTCTTTCTTTTGTGCCCTCTCTTTGTTCTCTTTCCAAATACACGTGTATTAGGTGCTTGAAGCTCTGGTGTAGCTCACTGGCATCCTTTTTGGTTCATTTTGGGTCTTTTTTTCTCTCGGGCTTTCATTTTGCATAGTTTCTGTTGCTATGTTGTCAAGTCCTCTGACCTTCTCCTCTGCCATGTCTAATCTCTGTTAACCCTAATTCAGTATATTTTCCATCTCAGACATTGTGTTTTTCACCTCTACACGTTTGATTTGTTGTTTTTGTTTTTTTTTTTAAATATATCTTTCATGTCCCTCCTTAACATACTAACACTTTACCTTCTGGAACATACGAAATATGGTTTTAATAACTTTTAATATTCTGATTTGCTAATTCTATTTACTCTTTGTGTTGATTTATTTTCTTTCTCATTATGGGTTGTGTTTTCCTGCTTCTTTGCATGCCTGGTGATTTTTTTTTTTTAAGATTTTATTTATTTATTTGACAGAGAGAGACATAGCGAGAGAGGGAACACAAGCAGGGGGAGTGGGAGAGGAAGAAGCAGGCTCCCCGTGGAGCAGGGAGCCCGATGTGGGGCTCAACCCCAGGACTCTGGGATCATAACCTGAGCTGAAGACAGACGCTTAACCACTGAGCCATCCAGGCATCCCTGCATGCCTGGTAATTTTTGATTGGATGACAGACACTGTAAACTTTACATTATTGGGTGTTAGAAATTTCTGTATTCCTATAAATATGCTTGAGTTTTGTCCTGGGATGCAGTTAGGTCACTTAGAAAGAGTTTTGTCCTTTTGAGGTTTGCTTTTGTTAGGTGATCCCAGAGAAGGGTTTAATGTGGGGCTAAATTTGCCCCGCTGATAGGCTCCAGAGTACTCTTCCTGATGCCCTGTGAATTATGAGGTTTTCCCACTCTGGCTGGCGAACTATTCCCAGCCTGTATGAGCCCTAGGGGTTGGTCCCTTTGTTTTTTGGGGAGTGGTTCTTTCCCTAGCTTCAAGTTCCTTCACAGCACATGCTCTGTGATCAGTACTTAGCCAATACTTCAAGGAGACCCTTTGTAGATTTCCAGAGCTTTCTCTGGAACCGCATTCTCCTCTCCCTGTCAGATCCAACTGCCTCAGCTGTCTTGGGCTCCTAGTCCCATATCCTCAATTCACGGAGCTCTGGGTTCCTCCTCTCCATGCCGAAGGCTGGAAATTATCTCCAGGAACTCAGCCTGGTATTTACGGAGCTTATCTTATTTATTTTTCTTCTCTCAGGGAGTATTGTCCTGAGCTACCTATTGTCTAATATCTATCTAAAATATATTTTGTCTTTTTGTTTATTGGTAGTTTAAGGCAGGAGACTCAATCTGGTCTGCATTACTCCATCATAGCCAGAAGCAGAAACCCCATTACTGTACTGTTTTTTAGATATTTTCTCCTCTCCATTTTTTGTGCTTTTTCCTTATTAGTAAAAAGTACTTCCTGGATTCACCCTTGATATCTCTTAATCTGTTCTCTCTAGTTTTTATCTCTTTGTATTTTCACTCTTGGTTCTGAAGGATTTACTTGACCTCTAGTGAAATTTTTATTTCTGCAATTACATGCTTAATTTTCAAAAGCACTTTCTTATTCTTATTGTTGTTCTTCTTTTTTAAAAAATATCGCCCTTTGCTTTATGGATGATCTAATATGTCAAATCTTTTAGAATTTGGGTTTTTGTGACATTCTTGTCTTTTCAACATTCTATTTCTTCGAGAGGCTATTTGTTCTGTTTGCTTATTTTTGTCTTTCTCCCTTATGTTGCTAGTTTCTCTCATTGTCTGGTAATCTTCAGGTGTCCATTTATATTTAGGCTATTTCTTATATGAGGCTTTTTTTTTTTTTCCTTTCAAGAGGCACAAAAAATGATTCTTGGGCACCATAACTGAGACTTATTAGTAGGATAAGTTGTTGTGTATTAGAGGCAATAAAAGTTTAGGAACCCACAATAGTAGGCTCTTCTTCTCAGTATAACTGCTGAGACCACAGAATTGTGAGCTTGAGGCAAAAGGGAAGCAGTGGTGAGCCACAGGCACCCATCTGTTTCTTACCTCATTTTGATCATTTGCAAAGCTTCTTTGTTGCTTCAGGAATGAACCCAAATAAAACTCCATCCTAAGCAGGGACCGAGTCCTCATTTTCCACTTTTTGGGCCTGGACCAGACTTTCTCCTTGCATATACTAAATTTGTGAGTGACGAATCCATGATACCAGGCATCTCCTTTACCTGTCTGGGTCCAGCAGCCTGCATTTCCAGTGGCAAGCACCTGCACCTTTTTTTGGGCCAGAAGTTCTTAGGAATGATGGGTGGGTGTATAAATATCCCAGTTCCCTCACCCCTTGGCCAGTATATTTCTCTTTTTATTTTTTTAAAGGTTTTATTTATTTATTTATTTATTTATTTATTTATTTATTTAGCATGTGTGTGTGCAAATGGGGGAGGGGGCAGAGGGAGAGGGAGAGAGAATCTCAAGCCGACTCTGTGCTGAGCATGAGGCCCAATGCAGGGCTTGATCTCATGACTCTGAGATCATGACCTGAGCCAAAATCAAGAGTCAGACGCTTAACCGACTGAGTCACCCAGGTGCCCCTGGCCAGTATATTTCTGAGGAATGTGCTCTATACCATTTCCTTGAACTTCTCCATGGGATTAAGATTTACTCACCCCCTTTAATACTGGCTTGTTGGAAGTTCGCCCTTCCATGTATCACTTCCCCTCTGCTTTGGTGCTGTCCTGCACCTCCCAGAAAAACTACATGCTCTCAATTGTCATCTCAGGATCTTCTTGGGGGTGGGGAGCCAATTAAGGTCAATGATAATATGGGGGGCGCCTGGGTGGCTCAGTTGGTTAAGCGACTGCCTTCGGCTCAGGTCATGATCCTGGAGTCCCTGGATCGAGTCCCGCATCGGGCTCCCTGCTCAGCAGGGAGTCTGCTTCTCCCTCTGACCCTCCCCCATCTCATGCTCTCTGTATCTCATTCTCTCTCTCAAATAAATAAATAAAATCTTTAAAAAAAAAAAAAAAAAAGGTCAATGATAATATGGGCCAAAGGTTGACACCCTTCACATATCTCCTTACACCAAAAGCCCGACTCTTCTCTCTCTAAAAATTCAATAGAGAGATTGATAAAGAGGAGCAAATTCCCACTTCTGTGCTTCTCATAATGTGTTCAATCCTGCTGTGGCAGGGAGAATTCAGACACCCAGAATGTGGCAGAGTTGTTTCTTACTTAGACTGTTAAACCACAGTGAACACAAATCTTCAAGACAAGTTGAAATGTAGGCTCCAGCTGTCACAAAGAATCTCTTCTGCTGATGTTGGGGTTTCACATCTGTTTTTCTCAACCAAACTAAAGTAATTTTTTGCTCCCGCAAAAATAGAAAGCACAAGAACACAGGGATCTGCAGATTTTATACTCGAATAACAACTTAGGTATATTTTCAGGCAGTGATTCTCAGACTTCGGTGTGCATCAAGATCACCTGAAGGCTTGTTAGATTAAACTACAGTCCCCATGCATAGAGTCTCCGGTCCACTTGGTCTCAGTGGGACCAGAGTTTGCATTTCTAGTAAGTTTCTAGGTGATTGCTATTGTTCAGGGAGCACACTTTAAGAACAACTGCTTTAAGGAGTTGATGTTCTTCTCCCTCTTAGCTTAGATGATTATATCTTACAGTCTGTTCCTTTTGTAGAACCTTCTAATATGATCTATGTAGTTTTCCATGTAATCGCATTGTAGCTAGTTGACTGTCAAGGTCTTTTATTAGTGATAATAGGATATTTAAAGTTCTCTACTTATATAGTTATCCTTGGGCTAGCATATTCTACATTAGCAGTTCTTTTAACCTAGTAAAATGTTAACCTACTTCATCTAATTTTTAATTCTTATTTTTGCTGTGGAACAGTTTTAATATCTGCTCTGGGTTTCAGCAGTGGCTTTACTCTTGTCTTAGTGAAAGCATCCCATCTTCTTGTCATCTGTAAGACTCTTGGCCCTGGTTTGGGAGGCAGGAAGGGGGTAAGATGGGAGGTGGGGGTGGGGGAGGAGGGAGAGAAAGAAAGGGGAGTGAGGGCAGCCAGGGTTCCCATATTCCTGGGCAAATGCAAAACCCTGTTTCCAGTGAAGGGGCATGGAGGAGAGGAGAAGTCCTGGCTCCAGTGATAGCCCCACATCCCCAGCCCCCATGAAGGAGCCAGTGCTGGAAGCTGGCTCCAGGTCAACAGAAGGAATCCTGGGAATCCAAACAAAAGCCCAGAGAAAAGGTCTTTTTTCTAGGAAAAGTCCTCTTTGCTGTTCACAAGGAGAAATAAAACCCTGCAGTTTTATTCCTTACAGAAAAACCATCTGCCGCTCTCGCCCTCTCTTGTCTGTATTCACAACAACATAAACAGCTAGACAGCTTCAACCCCAGCAGGGTTGATGGTCCCACATGCCTGTCAGCCTTCCCCCTCTCAATCTTCTGCCTACCCTGTCACGCTCTTGAGCAAGTCATCTTCCATCTATCTGCTGGAACCTTCTGGATTGTGCATCCCAGGTGTATTTGACGGTTACCTTGAATTCAGCCATCTCACACCCAAAAAGCTTCAGCTTGCAGGCCTCCTCTGGGCTCAGCACATGGCCCTCCTTGCACATCTCTTGGTGAGACAGCAGGGTCACCACGCCTCTCTTGAGGGCAGTGGGGAGCCCCAGCTGTCTCTGCCGTGGCTCCATGGTGGGCAGGGGCTGCTCCAGGGTCCCCCGGGGCCAGGCTCATGGTGAAAGTTGCTTTGTTTCCGGCTCCAGTGAAGTCCATTTCCATGTGTTTCGTGAACCACCCATTCACTTCCTCCTTGGTGTGTTTGGTGGAAAGGAGACCGACCCTCACCCCTCCACTTCTTGCCGACCTGACGCAGGTTGTCTTTGTATTCGTCAGATGGGCTTCCACCCAAGGCCACTGTCATCACTTTTTGTTTGTCAAAGAACACCCTGCTGTGCTTCCAGGTGGTCCAGATATCTTTTACTTGCTTTCCTCATGTTGGCCACAGAGAAGATGAAAAGGTACTTGTACATGTCCACACATCTCCACACACGTCAAGTTCTGTTTCAGTTCTAAGCCTTTCTTGGCAGTTCCGGTTAAGGAAACTTTCTTGTCACCCTTGGATTTGGGTATTGCCCTGCAGGCAGATGTGGTGGAAGGTGGTCTACCTCATTTATTTTAATTTAAGAAGAACATTTTTTAAAGGTTTTATTTTTAAGTAATCTCTACACCCAATGTGGGGCTCGAACTTACAACCCCAAGATTAAGAGTCGTGTGCTCTACCAGCTGAGCAAGCCGAGTGCCCCCTCATTTAATTTAATTTAATTTAATTTTTGTTTTGTTCCCCCCAATTTAATTTTAAACATGGAAGAGCAATCTCATTCTTTTTAGTTGTAACACTTAAGTAGCCTATCCAAATATATTGCAAATACAGTGCAGATTCTGTGGAAATTATGAGGTTTCTAGTCTTTCAGGACACTCTCTACATACATAAAGTGACAGGCTTTGAAAGAAAAGTTCTGCTCCCTTCCTTAATTACATTTGCATCGTATTTCCCAGAGTAAGGAAGGAGGTCCCCTGAGGAGTTTCTGGGAAGTTCTGTGGGTACTGATGCCAGGCAGGTGTGGAGAGAGGAAAAGGGAAAGATGTCAGCTGGGTGGCGAGCAGTGAAGAGTGAGGAGGGCCACCAGCAAAGTGTAATTATGTGGTAGAGACTTGGAGGGTCCAGGGTCTGGGCACGTCAGAGAGGAGGAGCAGGGAAGCAGGAATGAGGCAGCTTGGAGGGGAGAGGGCTGGAGAGAAAATGGGTGAGGGAAGGCAAAAGCACACCATGAGCTGGAAGGAGCAAAGCAAAAGTTGTCTCTGATGAACCCTAATCATGAAATTTGCTACAGTTTTATGAAATAAGAAACACTGTGACATTCAGTTGTTGTGTTGAAGAGCGAGATATAAAAAAGAAGTTTAGAGCCTATTTTATATGAAACATTGTTAGGTGGGTGGGGCGAGTGCATTATAGTTTACACCACAGGAGCCATTTTCCATGTAATCTCTATTACAAATCTCCCTAGGTTCATTCATAGTGAAGAAGAAGGAGGAGGAGGAGGAAGAGAAAAAGAAGGAGACGAAGAAGAAGGAGAAGGAGAAGGAGAAGAAGGAGAAGGAGAAGAGAAGGAGAAGGAGAAGAAGGAGAAGGAGAAGAGAAGGAGAAGGAGAAGGAGGAGAAGGAGGAGAAAAATTGGGGTTTGTGGAGAAATGTTATTTATTTATGTATTTACGTATTTATTTTAGAGAGAGAGAAGGCACTCAAGAGAATGTGTGTGAGCGGGAGGTGTGGGACGTGGGACAGAGGGAGAGGGAGAGAGAGAATCCTAAGCAGGCTCCACGCCCAGCAAGGAGAACAATGCGGGGCTCAATCCCATGACCCTGAGATCATGACCTGAGCCAAACCAAGAGCCAGATGCTTAACCGACTGAGCCACCCAGGCACCCAGAAGTGTAATTTCTTTGATGACAAATACACAATAAGTTGTTTGTTCTTGGAAATCGAATTTGCTCAATACACTGTAAATGAACACACTTGTGATCTTCTCATACCCCCCCAATCTAGGGGGCAATCCATGCCACAACCACAGCAGTGTGTATTTCAATTCCCTATTACCATGGGGTTCTTTTTCGAGTGAGAAAGCACTAGATTCCAGGCTTAGCTTTATGTTTACAAACCTGCTCAAAAGGACATTGCTTGCAATCACCCAAAAGTCCATTGGTGGATGAATGGATGAACAAAATGCAGTGTGTGTGTGTGTGTGTGTGTGTGTGTGTGTGTGTGTGTTACTCATCCACAAAAGGGCATGAAGTACTGAAATATGCTACAGTGTAGATGAACCTCTAAAACTTCATGCTAGGTCAAAGAAGCCAGACATAAAAGGTCATAGATATGATGCCATTCATACGAACTATGCAGAATAAGTCAATCCATAGAGACAGAAAGTAGACTGGTGGTCTCCAGGGACTGGGGTGGAGGGATGGGAGTGATTACGTAATGCGTTCGGGTTTTCTTCTGGGGTGATGAAAATGGTGGAACTCGAAATGGGTGGTGGCTGCACAACATGGCCAATGTTCTAAATGCCACTGAATTGTACACTTTAAAATGGTTAATTTTATGTTATGTGAATTTCACCTCAGTTAAAAAAAAGAGAGAGATTATTGTCTGTGGCACATCAGATTCAAATACAACGTGAAGTTCTTTTCTTCCATGGCAGGCACTCAACTTCTCTCTCCTAGAGCACCTGGGGATGTTTCTCAGATGCTTCTTCTAGCACCTCGAACCTCACAGCAGAGGAGGGAAAGCCTGACTCACGTAATTAGAACTCTAATAGGGCAGACAGTCTCTGCTTTGCTGTCCCACCCGCTGCTCCCTTGTATTCAATAAACTATCTCTTTTAATCTGCCTTGGGTGAATTCTTTGACTGCCCCCGCTGCAGGCTTCCATCTGATTGGGCCACCCCACATTTGGTGGCCCCCATCCAGTTGGGGACCCCACAGTTGGTGGACCCTGCATAGAGAGCCTTTGCTGGCCCTGGGCTCCCCCTGTATTCTCTGGGAATTTCTCATGACTTTTCCTTGGAGGACCGACTCTAGGGCTCCTGGGGGAACTGATGACCTCCAGCCAAGGTGACTCCTTGGTGAGGATCCGAAGCCCCAGGGGAACCAGCTGGATTGCCCTTGCCCAAAAGTGTGAGGGAGTTCCCATTTTGCCCTCGGGAGGGACCCTTCCCTCCCTCTCCTTTCTCTTTGTGGCCCTTTGGCAGTCTAACCCTAGTACCTCCGAGACAACTGAAGGTCTCTGGTCAGGGCGGCTCCCCAGTGTGGTCTGAAGGTCTGAGGACAAACAGGTTGGACTGTCTGCACCTGTGAGGGCAAAAGACCCCTTTCCCTCTGCTTTCTCACTCCATCCCCCAGGTCTGTTCCCAACGTGCAGTGCAGACTCAGTTGGGACCCTTTCCTGATGCTGGCTGACTCTCAGCCACCTTATCTCCTTAAAAAAAAACAAAAACAAAAAACCCTAATACAAGGTAGACTCCTGTGATAAAGACAGAAGCAAAGGGACATGGGAAGGAGAGAGAAAAAAATGAGTGGGGTAGAATCTCAGCCATAAGTTCTGCATTTTAGAATGAATGGAAGAGAATCAATAAGAAAGTTCTTACATTTGCACGCAGAAGAGAGAAATCAATGCTGTAAAAGTCTTCGCTATGGGTACAGATATAATTTAACCACAAATTGAACAATTTAAGAAGGGTTATATGTGTGCTGATTCCAAATCAGGTACATACAGTGTCTAAGAATCTGAAGATGGAGAGTCCTAGGATGTAATACACCAACCAGGAAAAGGGACACAGAAGACCTTGTCTTTGGATCTGAATTTGCCACTGATTTACTGGATAACCCTGAGCACTCATTCATTCATGTATTGAACAAGTAGACCTTGAGCGCTTATTAAGTGCTAGGCATTGTTCTAAGGGCTGGGGATCCAGCGGTAAATAAGACACACACAGTTTCTGCCTTCATAGAGCCTATACTCTAGGTGGCTAGACAAATGGGTGAACAAACATTTGTTGAACCAAAATGACATCATACAATGTCAAGTGGTGATACGTGCTATGAAAAACATAAAGCAGGGTGAGAGACAGTGAGAAGGAAGATCTCTCCAAGAGGAGACATCGCAGCAGAAATGCAATGACATGAGGAAAATGATGTGTAAACAGAGAGCGTTGCGGGCATAGAGAAGAACAGGTGCAAAAGGCTCTGGGATCCTTGCATCCTCCAAGAGGATGGAGCAGCTGGAGTGCAGAGGCCAGGGAGTAGTGCGTGTAGGGTTTGTGTTTTCAAGGTTCAATCTGTGTTGTAGTACGTTATCAATACTTCCTTCCTTGTCATGGCCAAATAATATTCCATTGTATGCATATACCACATTTTCCTTATCCATTCATCTCTTGATGAATATTTGTGTTGTTTTTCTATGTTCTGGCTATTACACATGCAAGCTTGTGTATGGACATATGATTTCTTTTCTCTTGGCTACATACCCATGAGTGAAATCACTGGGTCATATGGTAATTCGGTTTAATCTTTAAAGGAAGTGCCAGACTTTTCGGAAGTGGCCGCATCATTTTATAATCCCACCAGCAATAAATGGGATTTGATTTCTCCACATCTTTTTGAATGCTTATTATCTGTCTCTTTCATTATAGCACTCTACGGGTGTAAAGTGGAATCTCATTGTGGTGTGAATTTCCTTCCTCTGATGGCTTCTGAGCAACTTTTCACATGCGTCTTGACCATTTGTGTATCTCCTTTGGAGGAATGTCTGTACATATCCTTTGCCTGTTTTCAAACTGGGTTTTTCTTTTTATTACCTTTGAGACCCTTGAAATCTCCAGTTCTTCTTCCCTTTAGCACAACACACACACACCAAAAAACGTTAGGAAACCGTTGGACTCTAGAACTAGGCTCTGCGGTCAACCCAGGACAGAATCAACAGGTAACCTTGGGGAAGAAGAGGTGCAAGATCACCCAGTGCTTATTTCCCTCCTGGCTCACAATTGACACTGGACTTTGCCCCTTTTAATAATAAATTTTAATATCCAAGGGGCTTTTGTACACTGCAAGGAACCCACACTAAATTGTTATTTGTTTTTAAGCAGTTAGTGATTATTCAAATATTCACATTCTGCTTAGATAACTATTATATCAAAAAATGAGTTTTACAGATTAGAGTTCCCCCAACATTTTAATAGTGATAAAAACTTAAGCAATTAAGCTCTTCGAAATGAAAGCTTGATGAAAATGATGAGCCAAATCATTAGATCCCCTTAAACGCTCTCAACATCTTAAAAATCTGATACATATGAATGTAACGATTACCAAATTTTTGGTAGGAACCTTAAAAAACTTTTTGCAAAAATGCCAATGTCATGGATCTAAATTTGCTTCTTCATTGTCTTTGCTCTTACTCTTATTCTCTTTTTCATAGTGCTTCCTTGGGGTGCTGGAGGCCTTCCATCTGCCTCCCCAGATTCACTCATGCTTCATCTGCCCTGCTCCATGCTCTGGGTGCAGGAGACTCATTATATGAAATGCATCAACAGAGACCTTTACTCCAGTCTTTGCTTGGGTTTTATCAGTGGGAGGCATCAGCTCAAGATTTGAGGGTGGGGGAACAGTGAGGTGGGCTCCTTTCGAGAGGAGTCTCCATGAGTTGGCTGGGTCTCTCAACAGAATGTCATACACCCTGTCACTGACTCCAACTCCCTGTGGGGTAAGAGTTCCTCCCTTTCTCCTCCAGGCCTGGACCTAATAAGCTCCCCATGCTAGCCTCTTGCTACTGTATTCTTCCTTGTTGTTTTCCCTTAACCCTGCCCAACCCTCTATAAATAGTACCTTCACTCCACCGTCCTCAGTCACTCCCTGGAGTGTGCCATCTCTTTCCTGTTAGGTCCATGACTTAAAGACTGGATTACAATTTTATTTGCTTGACTTGGAGAGTCAGAGTGACCTTTGCTGACCAGTTAGGTGACCAATACAGATTAAGAGTTGAAGGCTCAGAACCAGGGACTGATGACTTGGATCTGCCATCCAGGGGATTCTGTCCATGTAGAATAGTCTCTTTATCTTTTTTTGGATAGCTTTTGTCCATTACATGAGGACCTGCCCAAGTGATTGGCTCTAACCAATCAGTTTTGCTTTGATTTTTTTATGTCCTTCGTCTTATAATTCTTTGAAAATAATGCTGTTTGAATGTCTTATCTTGAAAGTAGAGCCAGAGTGTTTGTGACGCAACCAACATAAGACATTTTGCAATGGCTTTTTCCCCCAGAGACTTAGTGCAATCGGTCACTTGCCATATTTACATATGCTCATTGTCTACAGTATTAGTCAGAGTTCTCTGGAGAAACAGAACCAATCAGATTTGTTGTAAGAATTATCTCATGTGATTATGGAGGCTGAGAAGCCCCATGATCCGCTCTGTGTAAGCTGGAGGCCCAGGAGAGCTGGTGGTGTAGGTTTCAGACCAAGTGCAGAGAAAGACCAATGTTGCCAATCACAGTAAATTCTCTCTTGTTCTATTCAGGCCTCCAACAGATGAGATGAGTGCTCCCCCCAACCCCCCCACTGGGGAAGAAGTTCTGCTTCACTCAGTCTATAGAGTCAAATGTTAATCTTTTTTTTTTTTTAAGATTATTT